TTAGAAATTTTCAAGTCTGTCAACAGTTAGACATTGCTAGGTTTAGCAATTTATTGTGAGAGATTGGGTTAAGGAGTGGTGTAGTGTTATAGCTCGATTTGGTAGTCTCATGTGCCATCTTGAGCATGGTGAAGATGGTTTAGGATTAGGAGCAACCGTTTGGTCGTGTTGAGCTTTTAAAATTCGTGCATGTCACGGTTTCGGGCTGGTTGGCCGCGTGGCCGCGATCACCGTGCTCGGGCGCTCAGCGTCACCACATTGATCATGCACGTGCGTGCACGGCCGGCCGTGGCTGCCTCTAGCCTAGCCAGGTCTCGGATGCCGATGGCCACGCCACATGGAGCCATTGCCGCTGCTACCGATTGCCCCACACGCGCCGCGACGGAGCCGCTGCCGGCGCCATCAACTCCCCGTCGTGTTCGCACTATCGACCCACCTCACATCGTGACACTGCTACTACTGATGCCACTGCGACGCTATGCTGCTACCACTTGCCTTGTCCTAGTTTGCACGTGGGCTGCCCCCACGCCGTCGTCCTGCCTTAATGGCGCTACGGCCAAGCCTGCCGCGCCCCACGATGCCTCTGCGCATGCATGTGTTTTGGCCACATTGTCGTGTAGCGGGTGCGCAGACACCGCCATAAGTCCGGTTGGTCGCATCCCGCCAAGGCGTGGACGAGCCGAACCCACTGCCACGCCCCGTCTCTCTCTCCCTCTGTTTTTCGCTGCCGTCGGGTTGCGTCACGGTGAGCCAGAGAGCGAGCACCTATCTTTAATTTCTCATGCTTGCGTCTCTGCCCTCACATCTCCTCTCTAGCTGACCCCACCCCGCCTTGACTCGTGTCACGCCGAGCTCCAATTTTGGAGATTTGCCGCCGCTATGCCGTTAAGGCCCGTCGTCGCCCGCGTCGTGGCCAGTCTCCACCACTTCGCCCCGCGCCAATTCCTCTGCACCATTAGCTTGCCTTGGCTCCCTCTTGGTCATGTGCACGCTAGTCACAGCTCTAGTGCCGCTGACGCGGCCGTGCCTTTGCGGTCCGCCGTTCACCTCACCGCACGCACGTGGCCAGCCTCACTCGGGTCGTCTCCGGCTGAGCCGGCTTCTCGGTAGGGTCACTTGTGAGTTGTCGTTTCTCACCTGCTACCCCTACCGCCTTATTGTTGCTGCAGCTCACCTGAACACTGTTGCCATTGCTACAGGGTGCCCGCTGTCGTGGAGAGGTCCTTGTACGGTGTCTCGGCTCATGCAACCGCCGCCCATCGTCTCGCGTCGAACCCTAGGTGAGCGTCGGTCTCGTAGATAGGTCAGCATGGGTCCAGTGTGGACGGCGTGAGCGCTAGTGCCACCGCTCGTCGCGCCGGCACGCACGGGGATGGTCGAGGGCCTTGCCATTGTAAAGAGGAGATGATTCGAGGGTTTTATTGCAAAGTCGCTGACTATAGAAATAGTAACATAGACTGCGTGTTGTTTTGCTCATAGTCTAGGGGCGTTTTCGCTAATGTGCCAACACGCGCAGGCTTCCTCGCCGTGGGCCGCCTCGCGTGCGTGGACCGGTGCCGTGTGGGCCGCACCGCGGGCCACCGTGCGCTCGCGCGCGCTGCGCACGTGTGGGCCGCGTTGGGCCGAAATTAATTTAGCTTTTTCGTGGAGAATAGAAATAGCTTTTCATTTGTATTTCTGAGCTGAACTTTAGTAATTAATATAAAATCATGTAGCTATCCAAAAATTGTGAAACCAATTTTGTTAAGTTCCTAAAATTGTGCTCTATCTATTAGTGTATTTAGTTCATATATATACTTGTTGATACCAGGATCTATTAATTCATTTTAGAGTGCTTAATATTATTAAGTTAATTATTGTAGGAATTTTTATGGTAAATTGGTGATAGTTTTAGCTTTGAAAATTTTACAGTAGCTTCATGGTATTATTATGTTTTCCCTATAATATTTGTAGCCTTGGACTAGGATAAGTACTAGCGTAGTTAGGTGCTCCTTATTGTAATATAAGTTAGATCGCTAATAAGAGTAAGATTACATTTTAGTTGCTAAGTTAATATCCGTTAGATGAATCCATACCTGTTTTTGGTGGAAATTATAAGTAGTTAGTATCTTAACCATTAGAGCTAGCTTAGTGGCTTAGTAGATGTATTTTTATTTTAAGAATTGTTGTTGCCTTAATATTAACGTGTTGCATTATCATCGCATGCATGTAGAGAACGAATTGGCGGAGATCGTGACCATCAGAGATCATGAGTTCGAGGAGGTGATCAAGGAGTATGAGGAGGAGATTCTCATGCAGAAGGAGGTCCTAGAGTCGCCACTAACTGACTGAGCTGACACCGCGCCTGTCCAAGGCAAGCCTCGGTGCATAACCCGTATTTTGAATAATAACTAAATATATATATGTGATGTGCATTTACGTTACAGGCTTATTGTGGAAACTACATGCATAGATATACCTACCCATGAGTCCTACTGGCTTAAGTCGAGTAGCTGCTATGTTTAGGTTTTTCGGTAGCGTGAGTAACCTGTTGTTTCTCATAATAGGTGATTATTATTATCACTCTCATGATAAAATGGTGAAAAGAAATGGAGACTATGCAGGGATATGGTACGAGTATTGGTGGGTGTAAGAGGTTGTGTCCCGCGGCATAGCTTGGTTACACTATTTTCCCTGTCCGTGTCGGTTAAGGACTGGCCGTTGCATTGGATTCTAGTCAGGTCACAGACTCATTATCCTGAGCATATACTTGTTTACGGGAGCAGGGAAGACTCGTTGCTCTCTTGTCATGGGTTTCGGTTCTTTCCGAACCAACTGACTGGGGGCGGGGATGGTGGAGGTCTAAGCACCACACTAAGTCCGGGACTCAGGTGTGGGGGCTTAGAGTTCAAGTTTGGATGGGAACCTAGACCCCTTGATAGGAGAGTGGTGGGTTGGTCCTGCTTGTTCCTAGGGTATAAGCGGGACGTTTGTTTCGGGGTACCTAGCTGGGCTACATTGATTCATGAATTGTCGTGTAATACTGTATGACTTATCTATGATCTTGCACCGTAGTAAGAACTGAAAGTTGAAAGATGATGAATTAGATCTGATTGCTCAACTCTTGCTTGAAATTAGAACATGTGCTTACGTAGAATTGTTAGATAATGAATTAATCATGACTGCTAATAAGAAACATACATAAGGATGCACAACTAGTAAGGCTTTTTGCAAAAAGAAAACCCAGCAAACCAAAAATCTTATCATATCCTTTGGAGTCAGAAAATTATTCCCATTAATCGGGTAAGTCTTGCGAGTACATTGTGTACTCAGGGTTTGTTATCCCCTATTGTAGGTGTGGCTTGAGGAATGACTGTTGTGTGGAGGATTCTTCTGGTGAGCACAGATGGATCCTTGTATCTCACCGTTAGATGTTTATTTTAATTCTGCTGTTTACATTCCGCACTTTGAACTTGGTATTGTAATAATGTATTTTTGAGAATTTTTGTTGTATAAAATGAACTAAGTAATGTAAACTCGTTCTCATTATTGGATCCTTGAGGAAAAACATGGATTGTTCGAGTTCTCCCTTTGGGTGTGTTCGACGGAACCGTTCGATGTAGCTAGCTTTCAGGGTGCTTAGTGTCTGGTGGAAGACGAGCGCCTCCGAAAGCGTGCTATTTCGGGCGGTTCTGCCACAACCTCCCTACTTATCTTTGCAATGAAAGCCAAAGCATGACTGCATGGTTTTCCATTCTCTTGCCAAGCCCGACAGTTACAAGTCTTTTCATCCAAGTTCATTGCATGCCTGAATCTATTCACAATTACTTCAGCTTTTGTAGGCCCACATATTAGAACCTCATGGTCTTTGATACTCTTTGTTTTAGCATTCAAATTATGGATAATAGCTAAGATTATAATGCCTGACATATTAGTACCAATCTTGGACCTCGAAACAAACTTCTCAATGATCATTTGTCTAATATGGTCAAGCATTTCTACAATCTAAAAGTCCTTAGTTTTTGACACCCAACTATTAAAAGATTCGAAGAGGTTGTTATTGATGTAATCTACCTTGTTGTCTTCACCGAATTTGCTTCTACTCCACACATATAGATGGTTTTCATCCAACCATTCAATGGCTTTAGGATCCTTCTCCTCTATTTTGCCCAATAAGTAGTTAACTTCGAAATTGTGAAGCTCTTGGCAGCACACCACATATTCTTGCTATAAAGATCACCGCTTTAACTTTTCTTCATGTACTTCCACAAGTGCCTCATACATTCTCTGTGCTCTACTCCAGGATACACATCTTCCATGGCATTTTCTATTCCCTTTCCAGCATCTGTGCTAAGGACCAAACATGTATCAACATTGCACTATGTCAGAAAATATAACAAACTTGAAACCACTGAAAATAGAGTAAGAACTAGGGAATGTGGATACCTAGAGGTGTACCAATAGCCTTCTTCACATTATTAACAAACCAAGTCCAACTTTCCTTAGACTCGGTCTCAATCACTCCATATGCCACTAGGAACAACTGGTTATGACCATCCACTGCAACAGCTGATGCCAACTGACCTCTCGATCTCCCTGTCAAGTGTGTTGCATCCATTGCAATAAATGGTTTACACCCTTCCAAGAAGCCATCTATGCATGGTTTAAGAGCAACAAAGAACCTCAAAAAGCACACATCACCATTGTGCTCTTCAGTCTCTAGCTCCACAACACTATCAGGTACTGATCTCAGAAGTTTAGCTTGATAAGTAGGTAACAACTCATAACTTTCATCCCATTTCCCATAAATCATGTCTAGTGCTCTCAACTTTCGCCTAGCAACTCTGTCATATGGAACATCCACCGAGTATTTCTTCTTCAGTTTGTCTCTCAATGTAGCCGATCTTATTTCAGGGTCTTCCATCAACAAATCCACCACTCTGTCAGCCACCCATTTATTAGAGGACATTGTCTGACCACACATGTTGAATGAACCACATGTATGCTTTGGTCTACTTGTCTTAACCTGCATCAAAAAATGTACAAAAACAAGTCGTCAGAAAAGGTGAACATGCAACAATATGAACCAAATAATAGGTGGTTCCAACAAAGTGAGTTAATACCTTGCACCCAGCGTATTTCTTGCTTGTAGATGCAAAAAAAGTTCACTTACAACCTTGATCAACTCTCTTGCATATGGCCTTAAATCTTGTCATGTCTTTTTTCACAATATTGAAAACATGATCATGCAAGATAGCATGATGTGTGACTGCTAACTTGCATTGATCCACATCTGGGAACACCACATTTACATCAATACATGGACCATCAGCATCATATGAAAATATGGAAAGATCATACTCATCTTCCTCATCAACAATTTCACCATCAGAATCAAACTCAGTGTCAGAGTCACCAGACCAATCATCATTGGAGTCGGATGATGCAACCAAATCAGTGTCGTAGCTGCTAGTACCTCTGCATCACCCTCAGAAGCACTTTTTTTGGTGGCAGCTGTCTTTTTTGGTGGATATTGTCTTTTTTTGGCTGGGGCTGTGGCCATAGCATTTGTGGCTCTCTCACTAACATTTGTGGCTCTCTCACAAGCATTTGTGGCTGTAGCATTTGTGCCTTCCTCAATTAGGAGCACACCAGCCCTCACAGGAGGGTGAAACCTTCTCTTTGTTGGAGAAAATTACAGTGGCCCCTCAAAATCATTTATCTGAGCATTGATGCATACTAATCCGTTCTCTACATTGATTAGAAACCACTCTAACAGATTTTTATCAGATTTTATTTCCATAGAATCATTCTCCAAATCTCACCACAAGGTAATGTACTGCTTAGAACCCCACAAGCAGTGCCCAGCAATGAAATCAACTAGCTGCAGCAGCCCAAAGTTATTTGTGTCAACAATCTTGGTTGGCAAAGTTCTACCTTACCACCATATTTTTGGACCACTGTCTGGCAAGCTGAAAAATGAATGCACTCTAACAACAAGTTCCAATTTACTGTGATTTATCCTACAAATCGTAGCAAGGAATAAACAAGTTAACACATCTACAAATTGCTGCTATTTTTTACTGCATTAAACCACACATATCAGAAATCAAAGAAAATACCTAGGCTCTTCAATGGTGGTTGCCTCTTCCTGGTGGCGGGGCTCTTCCATGGTGGCTGCCTCTTCCTGGGGGCAAGGGGGAGGGCAGCGGGCGAGTCCCCCAGCCGCGCCGTCGAGGGCGCGAGCCGATCGGGTCGGGCGGAGTCTGCCGTAGGCCGCCGCTAGCCAGTAGCCGTGCCACACGGGGGCAGAGTGCCAGATGGCGGAGGAGACGAGCCGGGGGTGGGGAGCGTGGCGGAGGGAGGAGGAGCGGCGCCACCACCTGGAACCCTAACACGACGCCTGGACGCGAGCGCTTGCGAGTCGCGTGACTTCGTTCCGTTCGGGAAGGATGTGACGGAGAACGAGTGAGAAAGGAGATAGACTGAAGGGTATAAGTGTGTTTTCGCACGGGGGACTTTTCTTTTTCCTTTTCTTTGCCATTTAATCCAACAATTTCAAACGGTGTTACATAGTAGGGGCAAACGGGAGCTTCGTTTAAATAAATCAAGGGTAAAATCACAAAGTTAAAAAAGAAGGGGCAAAAGCACCATTAGACTATGGAGTATGGGCAGAAACACAAAAAACCTTTTTTTTATTGGTGCCATTACAATTCTCGTGGATCTAAAAAAAATACCATTACTATTTAACTATTCAGAGATGAGCCATTATAATTCTTTAATTCTATGAAAAATACTATTATGTACGCTTCGGACGCAGTTGGACCCATTTGCAGACCACTGTATTCCGTATTGCCTAGAATGCCCCTCTGTCCTCCACTCTCTCCCTATCAATGACACATTTGCCCCACATGTAATCTTCCTCCTCCTTCCCACGCGTAGGCCCCACGGTCAGCGGCAAGAGCGCCACTAGTCAAGAAAGATACGAGATGGGAGCGGAGATGGTCAAGGAAGAAGAACAGTTTGTGGTCGCGCACACCCCTGGAACGCATCCCGTCGCTCATTAACACGCTCCTTTTTACATCTCCTAACACAGGCATCCAAACGTTCAACGCATGCATCCTACCCTAAGTTGGGCCACATTCGGCAACCAACATGCCCCTTGTCTAGGGTCTATTTGGATTTTCTCCTATAAACTTTATGGCTATAGAGATTTTAGAGCATTGTTACTGAGCTTTGAGATATAAAGCTCTAATATAATATAGGCTAAAGTTTAGAGCTAATTTTATATCATCTATTTAGATCCTTTAGCTTTAAAATTTAGAGGTATAGGACATGTTCGGCAGGACTGAAAAATAAACCAAAATACTGTTCCGGTTGATTGTTGTGAGAGAAAAATATTGTTCTACCTAAAATACTGTTTACATGAGCAGTGATTCTGTGAGGGGCTGGCCAGTCAGCGAGCCAGCCGCCAGCCACCAGCCACCCAGGCCATAGAATCCAAACACGCCCTACGAAGCGAGGACCGGCCAAACGCGACTTTGTGCGTAACGGTGGGACAGGTGCCGCTGCATTGCATTGGTAATTTGGCATTGGCATCTCTTGTGAGTCGTTGTGAATGGAGCACTGCTGGCCTGAAGCGTTGACGAGACGACGCACTTAGGCTCGCAGCAGCGTCAGCGTGGACCGTGGAGTGTTAAAAAGTCCTCGTGAGACAGGCGAAATGCATGGCACCTGAACGGACAGGCCTAAAATAAAAGCCCTGAACCGTTGGATGGCGCGCCTGCTGCGGCGGCCGGCGGCGCTGACCGGAGCCAGGCGAACGGTGTAGGCCGTGTGGCGCACCTCGCTCTACGTTTTCGGCGCACGCGGCCTGCGGCGGAAGCGCACCATCGGCAGCTGAATTTGCCGTTGCCGGTGCTGGTGGCCGTGGTCGCCTGGGCCCGTTGACGCAGTGGATTGTCGTGGGCGCGATCCGACGGTAGGAACGAACAAACAAACGAGTGTCTTTTTCTATAATATGGAAGTACAGTGTACAGTAGTGACTTCCACACGAGGAAGGAATGCAGGGTGCAGACTAAAATATCCACGTCCATGCTGATAGTACGTCGCAGCACCGTAAGCAGCAGTTGCGTCACCGGCCGGGTGTCTTGACAGCTCCCGGCACAAAAAATTCCTGCCCTCTCATGGCATGGGCTCCAAGATTCTAGAACATCTTTGCTTCTTGGAAGGCTCTCTTCGATGCACTTGAAAGAAAAAAAAAACTGAGAGTGAATTAGAAGCTGCTTTGAGTCGGGGAAGCCTAGCACTGTCATCACGGTGCTCTCACCTCCCAGCTTCATATTATATACACCTTTTTTTCTGCGAGAAAGCTTGGTAGTATGTGATTGTGCAATAATGTTCTCTATTCGACTCCAACTAGTATAGAAGGTAACAAACCAAAATGAAAAAAAAAACGAGCGACGAAAGGAACCCAGGATACCACTTGAGAAAGCCAGGGGCTATAAGTTCAAAAAAAAAGGCAGGGGCCGGGCAGGCGCACGCGGACACGTCGTCGTGGCAGGCAGGCCGTGAGCCCTGGCCCGCGGTTAGGCCAGCCGGCCCCGTCCCGTCCCGTTCGGCGGTCCGCTTCCACTTCCACGCCACGTTGACCACCGTCCCCACGTGTTCCATTGCACCCAGCCGCTGAGCCGCCTCTCCCTCTCCCTCTCTCAAAGCAGACTAGTCTCGCTGGGTGACCTCAACGAGCCCCGTCCCCGCACGCGGCGAGCAAGTGTGAAACGGATAACCTCCCCCGCCTATTTATACAGCGCGGACTGGGCTCTCGGCATCGGCAAGGAAGGGAGCGCAGAGTTTCTAGAGCATGGACCACGGCGACAGGAGGAGCGGCGCGGCGGCCAGGCCCTGGCGCGGCGCCGGCGTCGCGGAGGGGGCCGGTGGCCCGCCGCCGCCCAAGGTGTACCGCGTGGAGCCCAGGGACTTCCGGGAGCTCGTGCAGAGGCTCACGGGCGCCGGCACGCCCGCCGCCGCCGCCGCGCCGGGGCCGGCGCACCAGAGGGCGACGCTGACGCCGGCGGCCATGGTCGAGGACAGCAGGCGCGCCCAGGCCGCGGCGGCCGTGCCCGTGCCCGGGGCAGAGCAGTTCGACTACGCGTCCTGGTTCTCCGCGCCGCTGTTCAGCCCGGCGGCGTACGGCGCGCCGGGCTTCGGCGGCGGCCACCAGCAGCACCAGGGGAGCAGTGGGCCTCTGCTTTAGGGTAGGGCCGTAGGTAGAAACAGGAGTCGTCGTCCCTGTATAGCTTCGTCGCTTGTTCGTGCTCCTCTGGCTCGTTTTGCGTTGCGTTTTGGGCATGACTACACAACCTTCTTGTACCGCGAGTGAAATTCGACCAAGAAGTTATACGTCTATTGTTTACTTCTTGTATTTTCTGATAGAAAGACAAATAAATTTGTTTTTATCCTCTTCTTTGTTGCTTCTGTCGTGCATCTACCATCCTGATGGTGGCAATATATAGGCTCTCCTTCACATTTTGGTAGCGCATGTAATCGTTGGATCAATTTTTGCTCCAGCGTTTGCCAAGCATTCGTCGATTGCGGTTAGGAGCCCGTCATATAGGTTATAGTTCAGCATATGAGAATTATGCTTAGTATAATAAAGTATCTAAACAAAATCTAGTGTTGCGTTAATTCATTTCATATTTTACCGAACGACCTGCATCCGAGGAAAAAATTAATCACTTGGCGTTTAGTTATGTGCCATCTGCTCTTTTTTTTTTATTTTGTTTGTAATCGAGCTACAAAACTCGAGGCAATTAGAGTTGCGTTTAGTTTGAAAACAAGATAGGATGGTTGGTAAAATTCTGAACTTCTGATTACGGGTATGCCACCGCTTCGCCTTGGTATTTGGTTCACAGAATAGAGTCAATTTTTTTTCTGCTTAGTTGAGTGGATTGAATATTTTTCTGTTTGGGAACGACTTTGTATTTTTACACCATTAACATAGGCATTCCGATCATCTTTGACTAAGGTAGGGGCGAGTAGGCCAGAGGTCATTCGGTGAGGCTGGAACCGGTGGCCATGAGCCCTCACGGGCACAGTACACAAGCAGGGGCGAAGCTACACTATTGATGATAGGGGGTGCAAATGCACCTCTCCAAAAATGAAAAAAAATAGATTTGGTTAAATTTTCATTATATATGCACCTCCTCTAATCTATTCTAGTTTCGCCACCGTAGACAAGTGAGTGAGGATAGAACCGAAGTCAAGCCAGTGTCTACGCTGAAATTGCCGGGGCGAGGAGGGAGCCATGATCGAGGCCTGGGCTAGGGCTTGGGGCGAGCCAACGACTACGGGCCTGTTCGGCAGGACTGAAAAATACTGTTCTGGCTGATTGTTGTGAGAGGAAAATACTGTTCTGGCAGGACGTGAATAGTGATTCCGTGAGTTGGCTAGCCAGCCAGCCAGCCGGCTTAAAACTAGCCGAACACGCCCTACGAGCGGGGCAGAGCAAGCAAAGGCAGAGCAGAGTAGGTGAGCTGTCACGGAAGAGCACAACGTGAAATAGGGGAGCAGTAGTCCGGCTTTTTTCTAGGATGAGCTCTTCCCTAGATTCTACTTGTAGGATGAGCTTTCCTTAGATTCTAGCTATTTCATGTGGGATGTCATCCCTAACTCTGGTTGTCTTCCAACCAAACACCGATAAAAATAAGATCCATCATGTCCCGTCCCACCTCGTCTCTAGAACCAAACGCTACCTAGGAGAATCAAAATGGCAGCCGGTCAAGTAAAGTGCAGGTGGAGTAAAATGCACATTCATGACGAATTGACTAACGGGTAAAATTCCATATCAACACTCATATTCGCGGGTACTACCTCTATCATGTTATATAGTGCATTTTAGTATTTAAAAATTATCCTCAAATATAATGCATTCTAGAGGACAAAAACTAGTTTTACATTAAATATTTTCTATTTATCAATCAATCACCATTAATCACGTTGATGACAGTGTCTGATTAGAAAATAAAATGAGGGTACATGTGTCTTTTATGTTCTATCTTATTTTGTCTTAAAATTTTTATAATGCACTATATTACAAGACAGAGGAGTAGTATTTTACCACCCATACCCACATCTACAAGTTAGATTACCACTAAAATAGATGGAATCCTTTTTGTTTTAAGCACTAATGGGTGAAGAGATACACCTGCACTTTTGCCCGGGGGTAGAATCTTATAACCATACTTACCACGATTGGAATTTTTTTTAATGTCAACGGGGGGATTTGGTCCCCCACCTGAATATATCTATAGAGATTTGCCCAAAGCGGCAGGATAGTTTTGCAAGAGCTATAGCAGCTTTACAGGGGATTTACACGCATGGATTACTGCCAGGAACATAAGGCAAGGAACATTCCAAGATGCTCTTTCGGAATATGATCAGGGCATGTCGTCTGATGAAGTTCAGAGGTTGGCCGTGATGGTGGACCAGAAGGAGACTGCAATGGGGCATCCACTGATGATGTGCTCTGGATTTTCATCTCCCTGATTGCAGACTTCACAAGTCGTAGAGTCCAAAATCCCTTTTCTGAATAGGTTTGTGCGGCACTGAATACGTCCCTGAACAAGGAGCCAGACGAACAATTTCACTCTTGGCGGCGCTGCCGAGTTCCAGACTCCGAACTTTCATTTGGTTGGCAATCACGGGATTTTAGCATCCTGTAAATGGCCGACGTGTCTAATCTCCCCGGCGCTACACAGAATGGTGAAATCCGCTTGTCCGACTCATTTGTGAGCACTGTATCTCCCATAAATGCATCTGATTTATTGTAGTTGATCAGCGGCTTGGCTTGATAGGCGACGAACGAAATTTCCTTCTAGGCCAGACTGTATAGCTTGAGCGACTGTGATTTCCCGGTCTTGACAGTGCGAGTACAAAGCCGGGAAACGATCACTGAAGGCATCCTCCCCAGTCCAAACGTCATTCCAGAACAAGGTGTTCTGTCCATTTCCAAGCCCAACCGAGGTAATTGCCTGATACACAGGCAGGAGGGTGCGGAGTGCCTCCCAGTGTCTTCCATGTAAGTCCCCCTTGAGAGTTGCAATGCACGCCCGTTGCCTGACCCATTGAGCCCACGCCGAACTGTCCGCGTTGTGCAGGCGATGTATGAGTTTCAGTAGTAGACAAACATTCTGTGTGTCCAGATCCTTTGTCCCCAAACCTCCGAGCTCCTTTGGTGTGCAGACCCGCTGCCAGGCAACTAAGCAATTGGACCCTGCCCCATCCTGTGAGCCGGCCCAGAGAAAGGCTCGCCGACGTTTATGCATGCTCGCGATGACCGCTGGCGGAAGACAGATGGAGCTCATTACACCATAACTACTCTTCCCATGGTATTAAGCAGTGAAGCTTGCCAGGATGCTAGGTACCTATCAGTTTTGCAGATGTAAGGGGCAAAAGATGACACCGGCAGTTTAGTGGCAGAGAGAGGCAGCCCCAGGTAGGTTTGAGGGAAACCTTCCTTCCGACACCCAAGAATCTCTATGCACTGGCTAGTGACAGACTCATCCATGTGTATAGGAACTGCAGTACTTTTATTGTAGTTGATGCTTACGATTGGAAATTTGTACTCATACCCACACCTAGTGGTGCAAACGGATCCAATACGGATGAATTCCTACTATGGATACAAACACAAATAGCTAGGTCAGTATTCCTTGGAGCATTGTTCATTTTTTCTGGGACTGGGAGCATTGTTCTTGTTCATGTAGAGACCATCAAATTTGATATCTCCATCTTGTTGATGGTCTTCGTCAACAGCAAGGTCTACAATAAGATGAGGTTCTTGTTGTTGTCCCTTAGAAGCAGCGACATTTATATCTATGGCATGCACACCACCGTGTTCCCCTTTCTGCAGATAGTGGGTCTGGCCTTCTTCCTGAAGATGATGGCTTTCATCTCCTTGCTCGTCAGGAGGTCCTTCATTCAGGTCAGGTTCCTTTATCCGGTACTTTATTTAATGATGGATTTCATGATTTTCATCCCCTTGCTCGTCAGGAGGTTCTTCATTCAGGTTTAGATAAGAGCTCTTCACTTCCTTTTATCCGGTACTTTATTTTTAGATCTATGGTTATAGTTGAAGATAGAATAAAATGAAGGCTGAAGAGTTTAGGTCCTCTTCGGCATATGGATGCCTTTACGTTGGGTCATTAGGAGCACGCGAAGCCTTTTTATAATGGGGGTAATAGCGCCCAATTTAAATTTGAATCTCCTAGACGTAATGGTGCTAGAATATTGTGCTCTAGAACCTTTTATTGTCTTGTGCATATTCCTGATCACAAAATTTCTTGCCACAAATTCCTGCCTTCTGTGGAGCATGCTGTGACCGTTACGTGACCTGCAGAGCATGGCTAATGCTTTTTTTTATAGGGGCAGCATATAGTCTTTTTTTTAATAGGAGCAGCATATATAGTAATTTGGTAGGTCATTAAGTTGCCCCATTTATCCTAGAGGTGTGCTTTAGTTTGGGATGGAGGTTGTAGCTTCTAACTCTTCCAAGAGTCCTAAACTGTCAAAGACTCAAAGCCATAGCCCATAGCCCTCATAGTCTCAGTTCAAACAGCAAAAGAAGAAAAAAACACAGAAATATATAGCTCCTTATTTATGCATGCTAGATATCACAACCACATCTTATCACTTAACGAAAGCAAGAACACAATGTAGATGATTAAAAATAAACACCATACATAAGCAGAGAGCATCTTAGAAATAAACCGCCCTTATCCACATCGTGGAGCACCCTTGTCTATATGTAGTCCCAGAAGCACACGCTAGTACTGTTATAACACTGCAGTTAACCACCCGTACTCAACTCACCGACGCGCGCCATCACACCAAACAGTCGTCCGCTCACCGCTAAACTGCTCAGCGCCAGCGGACGGACGGAGGCGAATCAACAGTAGGCCGTGCACTTGACCTTGCAGTCGACGGTGCAGCTGCCGCCGCCGCCGCCGCCGCCGTATCCCTTGCCGGCGCCGCTGTAGGAGGAGAAGCACTTCTTGGGGCAGGTGACCTTCTTCCTGTAGCAGGGCCCCTTCTCGGTGCAGGTCACCGTGGGCGCCACCACGCCGCCGCGGGCGTACCCGCCGGCAGGCCCGCCGTAGCCGCCGCCCCACCCCCCGGCCATCCCGGGGATGCTGCCGAACCCGCCGCCGCCCATGCCCATCCCGGGGATGCCGCCGAAACCCGGGATGGTCGGGATCGCGCCGCCGACGCCTCCCGCGCCTGGGACGACGGGCGGTGGCTTGACGCTGGGCTTGCCGGTCGGTGGCTTGACGACGCTGGGCTTCTTGGGGCCCGGGGAGGACGGCTTGGACGTGAGCTCGGCATCGACGACGACGGCGCCGGCGCGCGCGGCGATGGCGGTCGTGGCGTGCAGGCCGAGCAGCAGGAGCAGGAGGAACGCCGCGTGGCGGGCAGCTGCCGTGGCCATGGCTGCGGGTTTCGTTGCTCCGATCAGCTTTTGCCTTTGCTCGCCGAGGTAGGTGTGCGTACACAACGCGTTGTCCGTCTCTCTGATGCGCTTGTGAGTTTAGGGCGGTCTTAAGTAGGGGGCGATTTGCGGGGTGGGCCCGCATTAAAAGAGGCGCGTGAGGAGAGGCTGGCGGTTGGGGATCTCGCGGGCAGGCAGAGGCGCAGAGCGGCCACCGGCCAGGGAGGGAGGCAGCTCCAGCAGCGGAGATAGAGAGAGAGAACAGCGAATCTCAGCTCAGTGGAGGCGCTGCACACATGTACTGTAGCTGCAGCCGAACACCCCATTATGATCGGCAACAGCGGCTCGCGCGCCAGCGGTTTGATGCCGCACCGGACCCCATCGGCGACGGAACGACGGGTGGGGTCAGGTCGTCCGCGTCCAAAAGATCAATCGGGTCTCACAGCACAGACAGTACCGCGCTTCGCATTCGCAGTCGCAAGTCGCAACACAACACCTGCGAGGGCTGCGGACGGAAGCACGCAACCACGCGAGCCATTCATGTGCACATTTATGGCGCTCCCGGCCTCGGCGTCGTCGTGGCGCGTCCATTTTCGGCCGCTGGGTGTGCGTCCGACGGTGCGAGCACAGTCGCGTCGCGCCGCCGCAATTTCCGTCCACCGCTATGCATCTTTGACGCTTCGGAGCGGTGCGTGGTTCGTCCAGCGTTCAACGGCTGTCAACAATCTTCGTCCCGATCTCGTCTGTTACTGTTCGGCATTCAAAGATGACGGTAGCCGTAGGACTTGGGAGTGCTGGTACTCAATGCTCCGGCCAGATTTGGGCCTTGTTTAGATTTCAAGTTTTTTCACTCTTTCTATCACATTAAATCTTTAGATATATGTATGGAGTATTAAATGTAGATAAAAAAATAATTAATTACATAGTTTGATTGTAAATTACGATACGAATCTTTTGGGCCTAGTTAGGCCATAATTAAACAATAATTGTCAAATACAAACGAAAGTGCTACAGTGCCAAATACTGATTCCTAACGTCTATCTAAACCTTGGTGGAATTGCTGTGGCATGTATGTATGGCTGTATTGCCTGTATGGTTCGTGGCAGTGGCAGAGGGAAAAAGGAGTCAGGACCCAAGCAAGTCGCCGACAGGCAACATGGGACGAATTGAAGACGAAACAGATGGACGGTTCAACTCAGAGTTTGCGACACAGCTCACTACCGGCGCTGCCACCGGCACTGCTCCATCGGCCAGTCCTAGCGCAGCCTTCAGCATCAGGTCTCGGTCACATTCATTGGATCCTATCTGAATCTGGATGAGTGGATGGCCGATAACGTGTCGTCTCAAGAATTCCCTTTTACTATCTAATGATGCCGCGCACATCACACAGCCTGTATCGCCGACTGTGTAGTATGTGTGCTGAATGAACTGCATCAACACAGCAATTGGTGTTCATTTTCAATCCTTAGAAAGGCAGCCACTAGCCAGAGGAACCAAAGCTATAACTTGCTAGAATTTTGTATCTACGCACAACCAATTTTCAGGATCTCTTACGTAACAATTAACGGTGTTTCTGAATCCTCTCCAAGTCCAAGGACAGCGAAAAAATAAGCTGGGAAACAAGTTTGGAGATAGGTCATCTTACATTCTTGTTGTACAAAGACCAAAACTTGTGTATGTCAGCTATGTGCCTGTGCAAAGATCAGGAAGTTTAAATTGTCATGCAGATGGAATAAACACCGTTGTATCGCCTCAGGCCATGCCATGTCCTCTAGAAGCTCCCAAAACATTGAATGAACCTAAGCTAATCCTGGTACGACAGCTTAAACCAACCCAATCACTTTTTCCTTTTTCAGGTCCAGCTCCTAGGTCCCTAAGCCACAGGCCATCTTTCCAGCTGCCAGCGTCCTGCGGGCTGGGCGTATATGTTCAGAGCTCAGCTGACCAACCACATTTGTGCCTGCATTATAAACTACAACAGCTGCATCTCACATGAGCACCGTAGTCCCTTTTCCCCGCCCTCACCCTGCGAGGAAATTGCGAGCATCAACTCCTATTCTGTATTTCCAGCCTCATTCGAGTGGACAGCTTGACATAGCACACTTCATCACACGATACAGAATTATTCGGCATTTTACACTGATAACTGAACAGTTGCAAAGGAATTGTCTGTGCACAGGAAGTGAGAGTGGATCAAGGTGCCACCTGCAGTTCATCTGTATGGTAATATATAATCAGTAATAGTGTCAATTAACGTTATTCGATAGCATAAAAAATACGAACAACCTGACTGAAACTTCAGTGAACTGCAACAGACTGTCCATAAGAGCAGCAAGTAGATTATCCAGTTATGAGAGTCACAAGCTAACGCGCAATAGCTCGAGTACTTCATACATCCAAGCTACTCCAGCTACATCGACCACTGAACTTACATAGATCAACTAGTAGCTACATTGTTGTTGGGCACTTCTGTGCCGAGATGGCAAACACTGAAGAAACATGAATATGCCTCTTCAGAACTAGAAGCCCTTGCAGCCCAAAAGGACTCCACAAAATGCCGTCTTGCAGGACTCCACAAAATGCCGTCTTGCAGTTGCTCATGTCAGCCGGCACCGAGAGCAACTTGGTTCTACAAGATGTCAAGATAAGCATACAATTTACTGAAATAAACGTATCAATACAAAGTGAGGTCTTTGTTGCTCAGCAAACTAAGTTTTTCTTTTTTACCTTCATATTTGCAGCATCAAACCCTTTCTTCCTCAACTTCACCATCTTGCACGAAGCCCCCTCCCGCCTCGCAAATCCAATCCCAGATCTTCGCTGGCACGGGCATCACCGATAGCCGCGCCTGCCGGAGCAGCGCGAAGCCCTTCATCCCCTCCACCTCGCCCGCCGCCTTCTTGATGTCACCCAGAGGGACGGGGTTCCGGAACTCCCCGACCGCCCGCACGTCCACGGCGCCACCGGCCGCCGCCTCCTTGCCCTCGCCATCGCCCTCGTACCAGGGCCGGACGACCTCGACGACGCCGACGACGCGGCGGGAGGCGGCGCCGGCGCCGGAGTGGTAAAACAGGCAACGGTCACCCGGCCGCATGGCGCGGAGGTTGTTCATGGCCTGGCGGTTCCGGACGCCGTCCCACGGCGCGACGCCGCCCGGGGCGCGTGCCTGGTCGGACCACGACCACTCGCCCGGCTCCGTCTTCAGAAGCCAGTACTGGACGCCGGTGGCGGCGGCGACGGCCGCGGTGGCTTGGGCGGCGGGTTTTGGTTTCCTCGGCATCCTGTGCGGGGTTCACTCCAGGTTCAGGGATCCGGCGAGTCGCCGGAGGAGGCAAAGGTTCTTAGTTTTAGCGGGAAAATGGGCGGCTAGGGCTGGTGAATGCGCGGGGAGGACCTTCTGCAATATCGCGTCCTTTCGACTTCGTGTTCAGAAAAAGCGGTGGAGGTTGTACTGGAAAGGGCCGAGTCGTATTCCAAGAAAGCCAATTTGGGCCGGAACTCAGAGGAACGGTCGGCCCAGCAAGATTCAGAAGCCACGATATAGAGGCAAGTAAAATCCACGGATGTTTTAAAAAGTAAAATCCACAGATACCAGGACATCCAACCATGTGATCTTGACATCTAGTTACGAGATCAACCTGCATACGAAGGTATGCAAATAGAGTTTGGATTTGAAATCAGTCTGTGCGTTGCACGATGTCTTCTTCCAGCACCGAAAACTAGGGCAACTAATGTAAACCAGTGCTAACAAAAAGTGATGCTAGCTCAGGATCAAGGAGTACACACTTGTATGGGCATCATCATTCAGTGTTTAATCCATGTAAACTGCAGAAGGGGAGGACATTTTGTCAGGTTGAACCAGTCTGGCCTTCTTTTGCTGCCTCTTGCTGCTGCTTCTCTGCCCAGTACTTCTGAAGTGGTGGACCAAATATAACATTGCCAGAAATCACTCCGATCCTGTAACATTTGTAGGAAAGAATAACTAAGAACATCAAGATAAGCTTGACAGCAATAGAAGATTATGCTGCCAACATAATAAGCAGATATGCAATTGCGACTGTAGCCAACAAACACACCAATAAACAGGGCTTCTTTTGATAAAGACAACTAAGGAAACAAAAGAGAAATGGGCAGTGGGCACAAAGCATAATTGCTATGTACTACAAACCCTAGTCAGCACAAGGAAACACCATTGCAAGATAAATTACATATTTATATGGATGCCAAACAAATTCTTCATGTTATTGTCATCACTACAAGCTTGAGTGCTAGGCTTCATGAGCTGCCAAATACCAAGTTTATATGACGACGACTCTGTTACCCTTACTTTCAGATTCCAAGAGCAGATTTCATCAAATGATCTACTGAAAAACTCGTGCCCACACTAGTAAAACACTTATTTTAGAATCAATAGCAACTACATGAAGTAATCAAAGGGCCATGCATAGTTCGATCATGTTGCAGTCCACAAAATTCTTCAATGTCAAAGGGATCTAAACTTTTACAACTCTAGGTTGATATCAAATATAAATGATGCTTTTGCAGTTATGCACATAAAAGTTATCATCAATGCACACACCACAACTACTCCAAAACAAATTTCCTAAAGCTAAACTTGTGCCTGGGCCAAAGTTTAGAAACTCATGTTGTAGCCTTTGAGGATATCAGAAACTCAACCATGCACAGAAGATTCCATATCATCTCAATCATTCCTAGAGTCTGTTCAATTCAGTTATTCAGTTGCTACGTGGAAAACTGGAAAAGTGTTCTTGCACAGCCAAGTACTTATGTGGTCACAGTAACATCACCATTTAATCATTTGGTCAAACTAAAAGTAAATATATTAAACTTCTCTAACAGAATATCCTAAGTGATTTTCTGGAGATGGATTCTGCCTGGCTAACACACTTCATTCAGCTGTGTTGATTTTACTATCCTAGCCATGAAGATTGGCAACAGCCGTTTTCTAACAGTGCTCTTTTTCATATAAGTATTATTGG